AAAAAAAAAAAAAAAAAAAAAAAAAAAAAAAAAAGCATGTTGCCTAAGGCCAGATTATGTGGGAGCTTGATCTTCCTAATAACAGTGGCTTTGGGGTTCTAGACCAGCGCTGTTCAATATAAATGTAAGCCCCATATACAATTTAAAGTTTTCTAGTAACCATGTTTAATAAGTTAAAAGGAACAGGCGAAATTAATTTTAATATATTTTATTTAACCCAGTATCTAAAAATATAATTTTAACATATAATTAATATAAAAATTATTAATGAGGTGTTTTACATTCTTTTTGGAGTCTAGTGTGTATTATTTCACACAGCACATCTCAGTTCAGACCAGCCACATTTCAAGTTCTCAGTAGCCACGTGTGGCTAGTGGCTACTATACTGGACAGCGCATTTCTAGACCCTGATAAAAGCCATGGACCATGTTAATAATATTCATATACATACACACACACAATTCTCTGTGCAAATTAAGGAGTTCACATTCTATGAAGTTCATTCAAGATTTGGCCACCAATCCCGTCAGTGGACCCTGGATTAAAAACCCTTACATCCTTTCCAGCTATATAAAGAAATCTGTCACATCACTTACATCCACTTCTCCCCTCCCCCACCATCACAGTTCTCTCATCTGTATGGCCCAATGTTGTAAGACTACATCAAACCAGATTTTTCTTAGGTTTGTATTTTTCTGATTTGTAGGTGAGCGTGAGTAAAAAGAAAGGAGATGGGGATATACTGAAGGATCTTATGAAAACTGCAGGCACCACCAAGGTCAGGGAGGCCCTTGGAGATTACCTGAAGGCACTTAAGACGGGTAAAGAAGGCATCCCTTGTGAACCCGAGGGTTCCTTTTCTATTTACCCAATTTATGCTCTGCACTGTCGTCTGGATTCCTAGGAAAGGCTGTTGTCTAAGGCCAGAAACAACTCTTTATACTGCAGAATAAGTTGTAGTCTGGAAGTTGAGAGAAGACCATAGTTAGTGATCATCAGGATCATACACAGCATGAACTATTTTGTCTACGGAATTGTCAATAGTTTTCAGGAATGATAATGACTTTTTTAATGTCTGTGTAATTACTTGTTTAATGTCTGTCTTCCTGCTACACTGTAAACTCCATGAGGGCATGGGAGGTGTCTGTCTTGTTCACTGCTGTATCTCCAGCATCTAGCACAATGCCTGCCAATAGTAGGTGCTTAATTAATCTTTGTGGAATGAATGAGTGAATGAATGCAACTGTAGGTATTACAGGTGTAGTTGAGATATGCCTAGATAATCCCTGTGCTGCATGGAAGGTGAGGTTACTGTCCCTCAATTAGAGAAGTTACCAGCCAGGCAGAATGGCCAGCAGGGCCTGTGTTTCTTTACCTCGTCCTTGGACCCTGCTACCTGAGTACCTGTGTGTTGGCATAGATGGGTTTGGGGTTGCCATTCCTCCCGTGAGACCATATACACGTGTGAGGACAAGCACGGGAGGTGGTGATGGAGCCGCACGCAAGCGTCTGGTGTTGACGGTAGGCGAGGGCCACAAAGCTGTAAGTAGTTAATTGTATAAAACTTAGCTATTTGGAAAATAACTTTTTAAAATTTTGCTGTTTTATCAAGAACTTGATAAAAGGTGAGGCATTTAAAAACAGAATAAAAGCACTTGTTGCCATGGAACTGCTGTTGTTAATCATCAGTAGTTTTACATGTAAAAACATGAAACAATCTTAAAATTCTCAAAATACTATAGGAATTCTTTTTATAAATATCAGTTCCTTATATGGTGTTTTGGGTTTTCTACCTTTCTCTTTGTGCTTAAAAGAAAAAAGCTCTTTATTTAAACCATTTCCCACATGTTTCTTTGTAGAATTTACGACGGGGATGATTTTACCAACAAAAACTGTGGCAACCCAGGAATTGACAGTTAAAAGGAAACTGAGTGAGAATACCTCGCAGGTATGACCTTTGGTGGCCAAAGTGTAGGGAGGGGAAAAGGACATGCTTGAAGAGGATGAGTCAAAGCTCCAAACAGCCTCTCGCTGATGGAGAACTGAGGAGAGTGACTAGGGCATTGACTCACCCCTGCGTCCTCTGTGAGCCCTTAAAATCTGCCATTTTGGCCAGCCCGGTGGCGCACTGGATAGTGCGCCGCTTGGGAAGCGCGGCGGCGCTCCCGCCCGAGGGTTCGGATCCCACATACAGACCGGTTCCCGCTCACTG